GAATGTACCTGTTTCAACTTACATACAAACTCAACTTAAGAACAAACCTACAGAACCTATCTCCTTTATAATCCAGGGACTGCCTGTAAACAGTAGATCATTTCACTTAACACAATCGTCTCTAGTTCTACCCACGCTGTTGCAAATGATAGAATTTCATTCTTATGATTATGTAATATTCCACCCTGTATATGTACAACTTCTTTATTCCATTCATCTGTTGACAAACACTTAGGGTGATTCCATGATTTTGCTGTTGTGGATGGTGCTGCAATAAACATCAGAGTGCAGATTATCTTTTCAATATACTGAATTCCTTCTTTTGGATACAAGCAGTGGGATTGCTGGGTCACATGGTAGTTCTGTTTTTATTTTTTTAACAGTATGGAGCCTCCATACTGTTCTCCATAGTGGTCACACTCATTTACATTCCCATCAACCACGTACTAGCGTTCCCCTTTCTTTGCTTCTTCACTAAAATTTGTTATTGCCCGTCTCTTTGATAAAAGTCATTTTAACTGGGGTGAAATGATATCTCAATTTAGTTTTGATTTGCACTTCTCTGATGACTAATGATGTTGAACATTTTTTCATATACCTGTTGGCCCTATGTATGTTTTCTTTTAGAAATCTATTCACATCCTTTGCCTGTGTTTGATTAGATTATTTGATGTTTTGCTATTGAGTTGTTGGAGCTCCTTATAGATTGTAGTTATTAATGATGGACAGTTTGTAAATATCTTCTCCCATTCTGTAAGCAGTCTTTTCACTTTGTTGTTTCCTTTGCTGTGTATGTGAGTAAATTCTTCAGATCACACAGCATTAAAAAAGTTTTAACACTTCTCACTTTGTTTTTTCAAAAACTATTTAATATGTATAATTTATAAACGCAGAAAGTTTTCAAGCATATCAAAATATTATGAAAATATGTACCACCTCATGATGTTAACAATAACAAGAGCTAACAAAGTTAAACAGTGCAAGTCCAAGGTAGAAAAGTGAAGCAGAAAATAACTCGGATGTCCCTAGTTTTCCCATGACATATCCTTTTTCTTCTTCTGTAACTTATCCTCTTTGGGCCCCACTCTTTCAGATACCCAAGGTCTTTGTGCTTCCCCTTTTAAATCATGCTCTCAGGGAAAAAAATATGAAATTCATATGTACTACGGTAAACATAATTAATAACTTAAAGTATTGTTTTTATAGAGAAGAATATTTTAACTCTAAACTTAAAAAAATAATAAGAATGAAACGTTAGCATCAGCCAGTAGGTAGGATTTCATGAGTGCCTCTGAATTTTCATGTTAAATACAGTAACATTCAGTGTACCAATAAGGTCAGCCATGGGGACATGCAAATATACATATAGTAAACATACCAATTAGAATTTCACCTGCAAGATTTTACTTTTATAGTCCAATTCTTTTCAGTAGCAACACTTCCAGCAATAAAATCAGCTCCAAACTGGAAATTATCCTATCTCTTACCAGCAACAGTAACCTCTATGCTTTATCAGGAAAAGTCCCTCAAGGAAAGAAAACAAAGAATAAAGCAAGATTGAAGCTTGGAAGCCAAAAAGATTCCAAAGTAAATTGCAAAGGTTCTATACCCAAAAAAGAGGTTTAAAAAGCTAGCTTTGTCATTCATAACTGATACTTCCTTAAAATCAATTAAAAATTCCAATCTTCATATCTAAAATAATTCAAACTTTCAAACTAAATACTTCTGTAAACATACCTGTTGATTATCTGAATATATTTTATTAGGAAAAAAACTAAAGGAATGTTAAAAAATAAGGGGTAAAAATAGGATTTCTTGCAAAAAATCAGATTAAACTTCCTCAATCTTAATTTTAAAAATCTAAATTCGCTCAAGAAAGTCATTTTCTGAAATTTAATCACTGAAATGTTGAAAATTTAGAATTTTGTTAATGTACTTGTATCAAAATGTTAGAATTTATACCTTCATGTGTAAAACACAGAAAAAATGAAATGTAACAAAGCTAAACCAGTAGCAGTAACTGCTTATGAGTCATTACTAACAATCTGACAATCAACACAAATTACTCACAAAAGAGCTAAAATATATTTTCACATTGTGGCAAACACCACAGATTGGCTAATCCAAATGCCATTCACATCTTTCTTCTCTCTTCCTTTCCCTCCTATAGAGACTAGAAAGAAAAACAAAGTACTAGACTTCACATACTTGCAGCTAGGGATGACCATACATCAGGTTCTGGTAAGAAGGGACTGCCCTTTCCAAATTAAAGGTAAGAACTTACAAGGAGAAAGGCCCTTTGCTTCTTTCTCTCTTTTCCTCCTTGAATGTAAATGAAAGGCCCAGAGATGGCACAGCCCCGTTAACCACAAGACAACAAACATGAACACAGACGTCTACATGACAGACCATGTGGAAAGGTGAAAGGAGTCACCTTTTCGGGTCTGGACTGTCCACCTCCGGACTTTTTATTGCACAAGATATGTAAAAGCTATCAGATTAAGCCATTATAGCAGGGTTTTCTGATACTGCTGTTGAATGCACTTGTACTGGATATAAAGACAAAATTAAGAGTTAAAAAGAAAATTCTCATTAACCCTTCAATATTCTAAAAAGAACCTTAAGGATAAGCTTATATTTTTCGGTTTTCTTCAACTGAAAATGATTAATACCACATAAGGGAGGGGGTGACAGTGGTCAAACTCCTCATTCCAATGACAAATAAATGTGAGATAAGGGCACAAAAGTAATACCAGACACTTATGGTCTAATAGAAACTTTATCTACTATTCCCTATATGTCAGTTTCAATACTCCTTGAGGAAAATGAAGTTTATTTCTGGAATAGAAGAAATTCCAATTCAGTTTTTAAGTAGGAACCTTTAAACTCAGGAAGCTTTCTTTCAGGTCCTCAGCAAGAGCCTTGTCAACTTCATGGAGGATTTTAATAAAGTCTTCCACCTGTGAGTCAAACAAAAGAATGAAACAGATGTGGTGGAGGAAAAGGTGGTTTATGATATTACCTGTTGACTATAAAAATGCTCTACCTGTGGTTTCTAAATAGAGTGATAGGAAAGAAAGGCTGATAGATTCCCAGTAATAGTACTTTCTAATAGTTCTCTATTTATTAGAGGAAACAACTGTTACCAAGGAAACAATCATCCTTTAACATCTGTTTTACTCTTGAGCCAGTACTTATTCTCCTGCTACTTCCTTTTAGGGTCCATTACTGGAGTTTTATTAACATTCTCCCTGATGATATGTCTTCTCACTCTCATATTCTATACTTTATTTTCTTAAAAAAGTTCCTTTTTTTCCCTATGGTTTAGACAGGGTCTCACTGTAGAGCCCAGGCTAGAGTGCAGTATGATTATAGTAGCTTACTGGAACCTCAAATTTCTGGGCTCAAGCAGTCCTCACACCTCAGTCTCCCAAGTAGCTAAGACTACCAGTATGCATTACTACATCTGGTTAATTTTCTCTCTCTTTTTTTTTTGAGACAGAGTCTCACTATCACCCTCAGTAGAGTGCTGTGGTATCACAGCTCACAACCACCTCAAACTCTTGGGCTTAAGCAATTCTCTTGCTCCTTTAGCCTCCCAAGTAGCTGGGACTATAGCCACCCACCAGCTATTTTTTTTTTTTTTTTGAGACAGAGCCTCAAGCTATCACCTTGGGTAGAGTGCCATCATATCACAGCTCACAGCAACCTCCAATTCCTGGACTCAAGCGAGTTTCCTGCCTCAGCCTCCCAAGTAGCTGGGACCACTGGCACCTGCCATAGCGCCCGGCTATTTTTTGGTTGCAGCTGTCATTGTTGTTTTGGTGGGGCCAGGCTGGATTCAAACCCACCACCTTAGGTGTATGTGGCTGGTGCCTTAGCCACTTGAGCCACAGGCGCTGAGCCCAGCTATTTTTATTTTTTAAATAATGTGCTGGCTTTCTGAATACATTTAAAAGGGTAAATACACCTTGTAGTGCAGAGGAAAAAACAGGCATTGCTCTAGCCAGCTATTTTTTTGTTGTAGCTGTCGTTGTTTGGCAGGCCCAGGCTACGTTCAAACCCGCCAGCTCTGGTGTATATGGCCAGTGCCCTAGCTGCTGAGCTACAGGTGCTGAGCCTCTTTTTAATTTTTTGTAGAGATGCAGTCTTGCTATGTTGCCCAGGATAGTCTTGAACTCCTGCCCTCAAATAATCTTCCTGCCTTAGCTTCCCGAGTCACTGAGATTATAGGAGTAAGCTACTATGCACGGCCAAAAATTCCTATTTTGAAATTTCCTCTAATGGTAGCAAATGTGATGTCATTTGAAGAACCATACAAACCTACTGACTATTCCTAAAAATCTTACTTTCACTTAATGCTATCTACTTCATAAGAGGGAGGGGTACTACAAATTCATCGACTCTCTCCTCTTCAAATTGTTACTCAGGCCAGTACTATGAATTATCCAGCAGTCACCTTTCCCAAAAAAGGCACTAAGTTGTATAAATTATATGCACTCCCTTTTCTGGCAAAGGCCTTGAAAATCAAGTGCTTAACCGAAAACATTTCAGTTAGTAATCCTACGAAACTCAACCACCTATACATTTACCCATACTCACCACAAGGCTGTAAAAAGGAAGAAGGTTTTGAAATGCAGAAGAACATTTCTCTTTGCTCAACTGGCCCTCCTTTAGTCCCTGAGCCATAGTCTCCTACAACAAATAAACAAAAAAAGTTTAATATAAAAACAGGAACATTTCTAAGGCTATAATTGGCAAACAAATACACGTAAGTATATACATTTCCCTACCGATGAAATAGAATTTCCATGTCCCAAACTGAACCCACCAACCGAGGAGGCTTATGTAACACAAATATGTTCTCCATTGTTGATTTTAGCAAAGGTACCACCACCCATCCTGCTGCATAAACCAAAAACATGGGACATAGTGAAGATTTTTCCTTCTTCCCTACTGGTTACCAATCCCTGCTGCCCTCCTGCCTCCCCCACCAAGTGTTTAATCCCACTCTACTAAATCTCTTATTTTACCCTTCCTGTTCATCACACTTCCATTGCTTAGGTTCTTTTTACTTTTCAGATTATTCTTGAAGATTATCAACCACAAGAGCCTGTTGGTAGGTCTTTTGGCCTCCAGCCTCAACTCTCTCTAATCCTTCCTCTCTATTGCGTTTTGGAGTATTTGCTCTAGTCTAAACTGCTCATATCACTTAATGCTTAAAAGAAAAAAAAAAAACTTTAAGAATTTTCACGATAGCTCAGCGCCTATAGCTCAACCGGCTAAGGCGCCAGCCACATACACCTAAGGTGGCGGGTTCAAATCCCCAGCCTGGACCCGCCAAACAACAATAACGGCTGCAACCAAAAAATAGCTGGGCGTTGTGGCGGGTGCCTGTGGTCCCAGCTACTTGGGAG